ATAAACTGAATAAAAGATTGTACGACATCATAAAATCTTCTTTTTATTAGGAATGATAGATCCTGGCGATATCTCAATGACAATACATATTAGAGCCATCTATCTTGTGGCTCCTACTTTAAATTTGGATTGTTTATGTTGGCCAATAAAAAAATAAAAAAATAAAACCACACATGAATTCATAAATTAAGCGATATTCTGCTTCACAGTCTGGATGATCTGTCTATGGGTGGTTGAGAGCCGCTCACTGGTAGTTAATATGCCTAACAGAGGGAACTGAACAGGACCGCTGTTGTCATTCCTTAGTGCTGAAGCGCTGTGCCATTACATTTATAGATTTTCTCTTTGATGGGATAATTTGGTCTTTATATCTCTCACAAATGAAGTGATCCTCAGTGCTCCTTGCGCAGCTCAATGTGCAGGTCCCATTTTCAAATACAGTTAATTGCATTCGAAAAGAATCAATGATACTTTCACAGTGACAATATCATTCTTTTAATGTCACTTAATTTCCTCAGCGAAATGATTACATCAATAGCCTGGAACCCATTTCTATCTTTCAGCATGAATTAATCTATTAAGGACAATAATTACACGTTTGTAATGGATAGGTTTTTGTGCTCAGAAGTAAATGCAGTCGAGTCTCCATTGTGCGCCTGGTTGTTGGCACTATCCTGACTGTCATTCAGTTTATGAATTACACTATCACCCTGGGAAAATAAATAAATAAAGGGTACCTCTGCTGCAGCTCCATGGTGGCCTTGTCGTGAGATAGCCCTCCCTCTAGTGGAGATGATAGAGTTGGTTAGTGCTGTCAGCTGGCTTCATGCTCTGCTCCACAGCTGAGGCAGTCAGGCAGTGATGAACAATGTAAAACGTGTGGAGGAAAAACCTTTCATGAGACAGGGAAATATAAAAAAAAAACTATATCAATCACTTCATAGAGAAATAAAAAATCACAATTCAAATCAAAATGATACAGAGGTTGTACAGTTAGATATACTGAATTGGAAATTGTATTTTAAATATGTTTTACATATTGATGTTTCTGGTATATATTGAATTTTGATATAATACTGATGGTGGGTGGGAAACAACAAATAGGACTCGAGGACCAAATGCAGTCATGAGGTACTATTTGGGCTAGTGGTAAGCTTACATTTACTATAATGTATGCATTGTTCTTTCAAATTGTGGCCTTCACAGTTTGAACCTACAAAACATTTTCATAGCAAACTACACTGAAAAACATACATATTTATATCCACCCCCCATAGAAGAATTTGTGAATACCTGGGATATGTGATACAGCTGTGATCCCTGCAACATACACTGCTATTATCCTCTTATTTATTCATCAATAGGAGAAAGAAAACGACTGCTGTGGTGTTCAACCTTTCAACGTTTGCGGTCATCTGACTTTTGCTCATGAAAATGTATCCAGCCCACCACAGGGGTTATGAGTACTACAGAGGCGAAATATACACATTTGACAGAATTCAAAACTTGAATTAGGTGTTTGGGAACTATACCAAGTGACTAAAATGACTTTTCCTTACCTGCTGGGTGCAAAGGAATTCACGAAACGGTCAAATACAATTAAAACGGTCAATATTATCAAAATTCTGCGGTGTTTTTTTAACTTCTACAATAGAATTAAAAGTGGGAGTTGAAGTCACGAGACAATCAGGTGGAACGGTTACATTTCCTTGTTCTCTGAATCACATTTGACCCCGCTCACCCCGGGGCTGCAGCCGGTGAAGGTGTTTGTTTAGCCACAGGGTGCGCGCCGGAGGAGGGGTTGATAGTGAGGCTGCGGTGTGTGACAGTAACACGGCGCGCTCAGACACAGACAAACCACCAGCACAACCACAACCTGGAGCCACCGTGCGCAGTGCTCAGCCGGGGAGGTGACAACATGACTTGTCCGAGTAAGGTACACTATACATTCATCAACGTTTATTTTTCCTGTTTCACATTCGCACCACAGCGTTTTGTTTTTTCCCAGTTCTGAGTAGTTTTTTAATTAAAAGAGAGTAAACATGTGTATGCATTTTCAATGTTAGCATCGACGCACCTGTAGCTAAATTACATTAGTGTGCACGCGGGTTAGCTCTAATTGAAACGTGTGTAGTCCGCACACTGTACCTTTTCCTCTGGGAATGGTGACTGAGTTACGTTATTGATTTTACCATTACTGTATGCATGAAAAGGTTACATATGGAGACTTTGCAAGGCCTAGCTGTCTGTTTATTTCCAGAGAAATTTGGAGGTACAGTGTTAAATGCAAACCATTATCAATGCAGATTTATATACTAGTTTTTGCAAATGTATTTTTATACATGCTAATTTATATTATGTAGTATTATGCCCTGTCTCACAGCAGAAACGAGTTGATATCCACAGACTTTAAAGACTTACTTCTGTATAAAAAACTAAATAAAGTCATTATTAATTTGTGACTATCAAATTACATTAGCTGGCAAGACTGCTTAAAGTTACTTTATTTTCTAATGTTACCTATTGTCAAGTAAATCTGACAAGTTAATTTACTGTTTACCTATTGCACCTTATATCTACATGTAATATAACATATACACAAGCAAGCATGAGCTAAACAGTGAATACATGCAGATATCTCAGATTTTATAAAAATGATTAAGAAAAATGGAAGTCAAAATCATTTAAACTAAAAAAATAAATATCTTGTTAGATTATCAACTCTGCTCCTGGTTGTCGTACTGCACTAACTTTGTCATGCCATGTGGGATGGAGTGTTTGCCTAGTGCAGCTCTATTCTTTATGTGTATCAGATCCCTTCCTGTCAAATCAACTGTCACATGCCGTGACTTTTTTTCATAAGAGCTGATAAGAGGCAACGATAGCAGCAGCAGGGCTTTCATAGCTCACACTGCATGACAAAAGTCAGTGTGGTGTCAGTGGAAAGGCTTGGGAGGCCAGAGGAAAATATGCAGAAATATGATTTATCAAGTGAAGGCTTTTATCAACTTGAAAGACAAAACGCAGGATAGATGCCAGGATAATGTTGCTGTCAGTCATAAGAAAGGACCACCTCTTTTGAGTAGTTACTAAGTCTCTCGATTTAAAATGTTGCAGGATCAGCTATTTGCTCTACTGGAATGATGTTGTGTTCTAGTGATTTGACTCAAAATCAAGGATGTTTTGACAGTTTTGGTAGCATGCAATATATACAAATAGTTTTTAAAATCCGAAAGAGATGGATTAGAATGCCACAACTTTTAAAGAAAATTATAGTTTTAGTTGATCATTGTGCATCTTGTTTGTGCTTTGTTAGGAGAACAGTTATTTTCATTTTGTTCTTTTCATTATAAGTACATTGTCTTATTGAAGAACTGTTTGATGGTGATTGTATTCCTCTTTAAAGGAACTAAACTGACAGGTGTTTGATTTGGCATCAATCTTAATTGGGTTTTCATTTATTTAGTCATTTGTTTTTGTTACAAAAAGAGAGCAGATGCTGTGTGATCTGTGCCACTATGGAGGCACTCTTGCTGCACATCAATAGGCCTGTGATGATCAATAGGGATTGCGTGTTATTTTTGCATTGATTATAGAAACGTGAGCCGATGAATGGAACTGGATTCCTCTCCAAGGGTTACACTGGTCCTGTTCAGGAGAGACAACGCAGCAGAGCGACCTAACACACCTTTTCGCATGAACCTGCTGGTAGATCTCGACTCCTCCTCACTCACCTCCTGAGGACTGTTGTCAGACACCTCGTGAGTTCTTGAGAAGTGCTGCTTCTTTTCTGCTTGACTCATCCAAGTGTCAGCCATTGCCGGACTGCTCATTTCTCCAAAAAAGATGCCATGGTAAGCTCTGCTCTTATAAAGTGGGGATACAGTAACATGGAGACCCTCACCGACTGTGAAATGGTATCTGCATTCTCTGCATTCTTATGGAGCTTGATCAACAGTGAAACACAGGCGTTCCTAAAGCTGGGGTTAGAGAAGACAGAGCTGGATTTTCCGCTGCGTTAGAAGTTGATGGGCTTCCAGAATATGAGTTATGGCTTGAGATCATCTCTCACAGGCGGTGAAAGGTTTCACAATGGTACCTCACATGTAACACTCGCAAATGGAGCTACACAGCTCAATAAATACATTTACTGTCCTTAGTGGGTTGAAAGCTATTGCTTTATGAAAGTGAAGTGCAGATGCACTCCACTGCTGGAGCTTCTATGCTGTGGTTTAGGCTGCTGTCAGCTTTGACTTTATTATGTGTTGTATAACAGTACAGCCTACTTTTTAAAATCTTACAAAATACACGAAAACTATTTTTTTTATTAAGCTGAGACATCATAGCTGTTTGGTAAAGTTTTCTGTTGTTGTCGAGTGAAGTCATTGTGCTTTGGCTTTCTTTTTGCCTTTGTGTGATCTCATCGTAATGAATATTATAATTATATATAATTGTTGGCATATAAAGAAATATGGACACTGAGAAAAAATGCTTTTCATTTCAAATTCATCAAATATGAACTACAAAAAAATGGAGATGCTTTACTATTAAATACAATAATTGTTGAAATTGTACGAGTACAATACAGAAAGAAAGCTTTTTCTATTAGATATTCCACACATGCTTGGTGCATGCACTGACCCAGACTTCTATTGAATATCTCCATTCATATTTCAATGTGGACATCATAGGATATCCAGAATTACACAACTATTTTTTACTAAATTCAGATAAAAACGCTGCATGTTTACTTTACGTCTCTGTTGTGTGATCGGGTGTTTTGTCTGTGTGTGTGTGTGTGTGTGTTGTATCTGAGCAGAGCGGAGTGTGTGAGTGAGCGTTTGGATCCCTCCTCCCCAGTGCTCCGCCGGCCCCTCTGTCGCTTTAAGTCCTGCCCCTCGGAGCCAGCCAACAGCAGCTGTTCCATATTCATCAAGCCCTTGAGTCTTAAAGAGCCCTATCCCGAGCAGGCAAAGAGTCATTCCCCTCGCTCGCGCTCTCATGCTCTCTCCATCTTAGCGCTCATCCCGCTGCTGCCTGCGCTTCTCTCTCTGTCTCACCCCCCTTTACCTCTCCGTCTATCTGTCCCTCCCCCTGCACACGCTCCCTCTCTCTTTCTGACACATACACACACTTTCACTTACATACACTCAGACACACTCTCTCTACAACACATATATACATAATCACGCACTCACTCCACACACATGCTCACGCACACACGCCGGTCCAACATACCTGTGCAGGCTGGGGGGAGCGTGCTGGAGGGGGCTTTTCTGCAGCGTTGTCTCTGAGGGTGCTGTGCCATCATTTGGGGAAGAAGCGGGTCTCAATTGTTTTCTCTTTCCTCTTCCTCTCATTCCTGGAATGCTAAAACTGGACTGATGGACATTTCAGAACTTTGTCTTCCCGACCCTCTCAGCTATCATAACCAGTAGGTGCACCTTCTTTCCTTCCTTCACTTTTAACCTCTTTGTTGTAATGCAGTTTTTATTTATTTTCTGTCTTTTTTAACTTCTCATTTGTAACAGTGCCTGCTCTAGTTTTGTCTCCTAAACCCCACCAGTTTCAGCCCTGAACCTTTTCCTTTCTTTAGCAGTGATTTAGTTTTTCCTGAATTCCTTCTTCTTGCTGTATTCCCTTTTCATTTCTACTCACACTCTTAAAAATGCACTTTCTCTTGTTCATTGTTTTAAGGGATCCTAAATCATGTAGGACTTGACAGTGTAGAGCAACAGGGCAGGTGCGCAGTGTATGTGTGTGTGCGAGTGTGTAGATTTATTGTGTGAGCACATCATGTATGCCAGTCTTTATAAATGTCACCCCGAGCATGGCTGATCGATTTAGCGTGCCATTCAGGAAAGTGTGTGTTTTATTCCTAAAGAATTTGGGGTACCTGTCCGGTTGGGTTAGGAGGTTGTTTGCTGATGGCTTTGTTCCTGCATCGGGCCGCCCAGGGGGAGTGATATTTTAAGGACATGCGATTAACGTGAAGCCGTGGAATTGGCGAGGATAAATTACACAGTTTAATATTTGTTGCCAGAGAAAGAAATGAAAGGACCCTTTAACCTCAGCGTGTCCCAGCCAGCGGCACGAGGCGCGCTGCGTGTGGACTGCTCCTGCTGGGACAGCTCCTTCACACTCTTAACTTTGCAAATCCCTCCATAGCTTACATTTTAAACAAAGTCAATCTCAAGCTAGGGAACATATTTATTTGTCGAATTTAAAAAATGTTCATGGTACGAATTTAATGAAATAACTTCAACATATCCCTGTTAATGTCTCAACCAAAATCAGGCATTAGGTGTGTGTTGAGATTTGTTAAGATGAATAGATCATTTAATCTATCGTTATTATATGATATACAATGTTTGATAGATATTATTGATGAAGTAGCATATGTGCAAAAGTGGGGTATTGTGGAAGACCAATCAGATGTTTAAAGACGTTTAATTCACAGTTTCCTTTTAACTGAGCATATTGAGACAATTTACATTTCATTTGGTTTCTTTTCAGTTGTCCTAAACATTTCAGCTTACATTCTTAAATTCAGTATTTTGTAACTGATCTTTTAATGTACTGAACATTATTTATTGATATCATGATTGAGGAGTTTAGTCTTTTTAAATGATATGTTAAAGCAATGAAAATAATGTGTAAATGTAAAGTAAAAAGACACATTGCTTCACTTGACCTATTTGTTCACTGGTGTTTTTTGGACTTTAAGTCAAGTAGTTATTTAAAAAGAATATCTTAAACATACATTAAATAATTGCCTTGGTTTTTCCTCTAAAACAAATTATTTCAACGTATTGCTACACCTTTTTAAAAATGACACCAACAGCAGTAACAGATTTGTATCAAATATTGAAGTGTATTTATATTTGTATTGTAGCTTTCCCTGCATGAATTTCCTAAATTGGAAAGCAAAACTAATATTGATATTTGAAAGCAGGTTTTCACAACACCCCACAATACAATATTTTTATATTTTCAATAAATGATGATCCTGAAATCTGAGGAGGTTTTCATTTTCCAATATTATTTCTACAAATGCACTTCCCAACACATTTGGATCATATTCATTGCAACAAGCAGAAACCATATAAACCTTAATACATCAAAAAAAGTATTCAATCATGTTGGAAATAATTAGTTTAGAATGTTTTTAGTATCAGTGACTTTAATTGACCTTATCTATTTTTTAGGTTATCAGACACAATTAAGACATGTGTTTCATTGGACTCTTAATTGTTAGTCAATTTATCAAATGTAAAACAATAAGTCCCTTCATTTGAACACGCTAGAACGTGCAATTAATCTTTACATTTAATTTGTTTTCTTCCTAAAAACATAAAACATGTAGTAGGAGGGTTATTGATTTAGATATTGGGTATTTAATAAAAGAAAGTACTGATTAATATTTAATGAAACTGCAGAAGAAAGGAGTTGCATTTCTGTGTGCCATGTTAAAACATTTGATTAATGTATACATTCAAATGAACAGTGCACCGTGCAAAGCTGAGTAGTGAACAGGTGTTTGATGTATAAATAACTTTAGTGAAGACGTGTTTGGAAATTGTTGGTGGTAAAATGGGGATGCCATTTATTATCCCTCAGCTTAAAAATCTGTCACAGTGACTTATGAAGAAATGATGAGAGTAAATCAACATTTTCCCCACCAACAGTTAGTTATTTGTGGGCTCTCTCCAGCGTTGGCCTGAGTGTTGCTAGTCACTTTGTTCCAGCAGTGTGTGTCTCTCTGCTAATTGTGCAGCGGTATTTGCACCCCTCACTGTGGGCTGTGTGTCCGTGATGCTTGGGTGAGAGGATTAGTGGGACGTATGTGCTCCATGTAATTAGCACAGCACTGTTGTGGAATCACTGTAGTATACTCTATAGATTGACCCGAGGGCACTGCCTGGGAATAACATAGAAACAGAGTTTAGCCTTCAGAAGAGAGTGACACGCTATTCAGCACACTGGAGATATATTGTTTTTAGATTCACATATTTTACTAAAAGTGAAATACTCTATAAATGTAATTACCTCAAAATGGTATTCTTACTGGTACGCACTCCCCCTGTTATGGACATTAGCTTGAGTCAAAATATGTCATGGCCCCTGCAGAGAGATGAGCCATTTACTGTTAGAGTCTGACAGGCTTATTGTTGATGTTGTTTTGCAGTGGCAGTTCGCGCCACTCAGAAATCAGCCAATGCTGAGGATTGTCAGTTTGAGTTTCTCTGTGCTCGCTAGAAATCACACACACGCGGTCTGAGCGGCAGTGAATTGAGATGTGACTCCTCTCTGCTTCTAAATGTTCCATCAACACCCTGGCTTTCCTTAAGGGCATTGCCACTGCTAAAAACCAACTAGGCTATTGAATTTCCTTTCATGAAATAAGAGCTTTTTAATGTATTTTGTAGAGAAAGCAAAAACAAGTTGGCACACAATGATGAATTAGATTTCAATTTATTTGACTTAATTCCCAGCTTGCTGCATTAGAGCCTGCAAACATCTCCAGCAGTCCGTCTGCTTGATTCTTATTAGGTTTCGGAAAACAAGGCGAGGGAATTGCATTAGTGTATCTTAAGTTAAAAGCTCTTTGCTCTTTGACCAAGTGTTTCATTGTTATTGGGTTAATCAGATTGTTGCTGTCTTCATGGAGATGCTATCGCAGGCTAGAGGCAGTGGTGGGTAACCAAAGCAGCCGTGCACAGACACTATCCAGATGGGATCAGCTTACGGTAATTTGGTTTCAGAATACATTACCAGAAGAGGCTCCTGGCCGAGAATGGCCACCGCGCTATGAGCCAGGAGCCGTGGCCTCTGTAGCTGCAGCTGACCAACCAACCCACCTGTCCCTCTCCCACCCTCCTCCTCCTCTCCCAGAGCTTTTAGGGGCTGTGGGGATGCGTGCCTGTTTAAAGTAATGTTTTAAAAATTCCGTTTGTCACCCCATTCTAAATACTTCTTCCTTGTACCAACAGGGCTTTGTTGTCCAATTCATTAGAGAGATTCCTGAGTCCACTGGCCACGCTGGAGCCCTCTCATTTCTGGTATCTAGTATCATTACTTTCACTGTAAATATGTCACTCAGCTCAGGCTGAGTGGGGGGAGGGTGGAGCATGTTGTCCCTCTTCAGGCCAAATGGGGATGCAGAGTATATTGACCCTTTGGATGTTCACTGTTCTGTAGCTTCATACTTCTTAGTGCTTTCACTGTCTTTTAAATCACCTAATTATTTGTAGTAGATGTCTTATTTTTGGGTGATCTAGTATGTAGGTAATTGAGGAAAATTATAGACAGAGCATGCAACATCCAAACTTATTCTGTTCTAAAATATGATCATTTGTTTTCAATACCATGCATACAAATCTGTCAAATTGGTCATATTGGGAGTGTAGCGGCCAAAATCTGATACAGGGAGTGCACTTTTTCAGTGTACACATAAAAGGAAGTCTACAGAAAGTATCAAATAGTTTTTTTCAGTTCATGTTATTCTAACATGCTGTCCTCTGAGACCCCATCTGATATTTGGCCTTTACACCTCTCAGTGATTAGCCACCATGCCTCTTTGGCTATTTCACAACATTAACCTGCACAGAAAACCACCAGCCGTCACCGCACGCGTCCCTCCTGATTTCTGATCCATGGTAACCTTGGACACCTCCACCGCAGTGTGAGAATCTGTTTAAAAATAACTAGGTCCATTAGTCGAGAAGCATAATGCTAGCCTACGTGGGCTCTCATGCCCTTGTGGCAGCAGAGTGCTATCACTGACACGGTTTGTCAGCACTTCTTCCTGTTGCTCCAACACTGAAGGGCTCCTCTTCATCTACACCATACAGTATGGAGCAAACACTTACACACACAAAACATCTAGAATGCAGAGGTTCAGAAAGAATAAGTGCAATTTTTCTGCAATACACTCGAATACAGAGAACCCTAATTTGAAGATTTCTGTGTTTGCCATGTTTCCTACGGTATTCACCATTAGTAGTGTTTTAGAGCTGACTAAAACGCTTCTGTTTTTCTATGTCCACTAATTCGTACTTGGTAAGGAAATGTGATGTAAGGTGCATAACTATATGGGTGTTTATCAGTGAAGGCTATTGGTATTGAACGGCCAGTTGTTTGAAGGTTATGTTTCAGAGCAGTAATTGAAATGCAAAATAACATTAGGATCGATGGTTAGCTTTGTTTATTTATGAAATCAATATTGAAACCGTCCGTCACGGTAGCCGCTCTGATTCTCTCTGACAGCTTCACCAAGTCTCCTCTTCATGGTCGGGGCGAGCCTTGCACCCATTACAGCTCTTAGGCCGACCTCTTTTTTTTCTCTCACTCTATGTAAAGCTATGATTTAACGTTCAGGCTTAAGTTAAAAAACGCAGTCTGTCGTTTTAAGGAAAAACTGTGTGACTTGGCATCACCATCCGTTAAATAAAAAAGACTGATGCAGTGTGCACACCTATAGCAGCTATGTTATGGGTGTGTCATCCAGAGACAGAGAGTACTACTATCACTCATCCCTGATTTGCCCCAGGGAAGAAAATGGGACCAATAACCAGCCATTAACAGGGCAGTGTGCAAAAAGGCCAGCCACTACAGGCCTAGTTTCTCTGTGCTGAACAAGAAATTCTATTGACGTATCTGATTCTTTTGACCCATGTCAAATACGCATTTGCTTATATTACAGGAAATAACAAGGACCCTTTTTTCTCAAATTTAAATATTCTATAATATCCTGTTTCTATAAATTGGATAGTTTTCAGAACTAAACATTCATAATTATTTACAAATACATTCATACTTTATATTATTATTATTTTTAACTTTTTAAAGAGATGCTTCATATTTAAATTTAGGTCAATCTGATTATCAGGCCGGGTTCTGCCTCTCCGTCCCACAAAACGTTATTCATTACAGGTTGCATTTGTTTGTCTCATGTCTCGTAAAACCCCTTGTTTACAACGTCACTATCGTAACACTATTATTCATCTGATCACTGACACATTTGTTAGTGTAAAAATGTGAGTGTGTGTGTGTTTGCCTCTCAGTGTGTATTCTTCCTCGAATTATACAACTGTGTGTCTTTTTCCCTGCTGGTCACAAAACATGTTCACATTAAAACACCTCCTTATGAGACCACCCCCACAGTGCTAAGTGCAATCGAATGGCCGCATTGAGAGGCTGGTTGTTGAACCTGCCACTCGCAGAGCCCCTCCCTCGCAGTACATCCGCTGACACCAGACGTGGTGAGCGCTGAAATGTTTAGATTGCCCCCCAGAGGAGACGCATTAATTCAGGAAATATCCCCAAAGTTTAATTATTCCTGAATGGTGTGGTGGTGGACTTTACCGTATAAATCAGTTAGGCCCGCCCGTCTTTTTATTACCAGCACTATTTATGGGGAATGTGTGGCAGCTGGTAGAGATGAGCCTGTAAAAAGCTAGAGGCTATTGCTATGACTATGTCTGCTGCGGTGGCAGACACTCACAGCAGTAGTGTTTAAAGCAGCATCAATTCATTGTGGCTCTGGTGGAAGTGCGTGCTACAAACCACCATTTCAATATGAGAAGTTAAATTCCTGTTGGGCTGTTATTTTACCATGGACAGGATCACACATTTAACTGTGAAGAGCTGAGCAAACATTTACATATTTGATTTGATTTAAATCATCCTGGATACCTGAACGAATGTTCTAGTATTCATTTAGCCTTGCATGTGTATGTATGTGTGTTTGTCTGTTAGTATTTGTCTCTTCTTCTTATGAAGAGGACAATTTATGATGGAGTCAGGTTCTTTGTTTTATCAAGGTAGAGGTCCCCCCTAAACAAGGACGGCCTATCAGAAGAAGATTAATGAAGTAATTTCATGCATGGCTCTATGCCTCCGTCCTCCTGTACGCACAGTCACTGTGTCTAAACCTGTGATTTACACTGGACTGTGTTAAATAGCCTTAACCCTTTAGAATAATATGTATTTCTGTTTGTGACACATGCACACAAACACAGTGCAAAAAAACATTCAACCAAATGAGACATATCCTTTACCTCTAGGATAAAGTGAACCAGTCTCTTCGATTGGACCTTTTGCTCAAATTTCCATCATTCATATTTTATAATCCCCCCTCTTTATTTGACATAAGAAACCCTACTGAGCGTACGTGAGAGGTGTGCTGTGGTTGATATCGACTGGCTTTCCACATCATTTATGGCAGTTAAACAAAACCTGGCCTTAAAAGGCTTTTGGCGCAAAAAACTGAATTTTTATGACTTCTTTTTTCAATATAAGTCTGGACAGGTCAGTGATAGCAGCATATTACCATACTTAATCTTTTTCTCTGACTTTATCGATTAATTATAATATTCATTTGTAATATTAGGATCTGCTGAACCTATTTGGTTGATACCATCAAGATGTAAGAGGTTATGTGAGAAAACCATAACTTGCAAAACCATAATTTACAGTTTATTACAGCATTTCCGTCACTGAAGAGGAGAAACACTGTTCCACTTAAATGTCAAGAAAATAAAAAAGCTCTATTTTTGACTTTAGATTTTTAGCAATATATTTCATCGTTCAGTTTTACAGTCATGAAAGACAAAGAGCTGAACTGCTGTCAAACAGAATAGCTTACAGTTAATACACATTTTGAAAAGGAATGGTCTACCTATGCCTCAGTATTACAAAGAGTGTATGATGGTATTGGTATCAGTGTATCATGTGTTTAGTCTGATGTCACTACCCACACCAGCTTTGGAGTCTTTCAATATACACAACGTTATTATATAGAAGCTGTTTTTAAGGGGGATTTTTACAAGTGGACTATAATTACTTTTTCTAGTTATCACGAGCCATTGTACATTTATGTTGTTAAATTATACCATGGCCATGCCACTTAATGGATGTAATGGAAACTAATCTTTTCTAATGAAAAGGCCGAATTAGAAATTTGATCCCAAATGTACTCCATGGCAGACTAGACTTATCATGAACTTCTTTTTTTACATACAGTATGATGAGCTGTTCAATTCAGCAGGGAGCTTCCCCACTGGGTCCGCATGGAAGTCTGTTAACTCTTCGCTCCCCACAGTGGGGAGTTCAGACAACTCCCTCACATCCCCCACTGACAGTAGCTCTGTCATTATCCATTTTCTTCTCTCAACATCCTGAACTCAGCCCCTTATAAGAACCAGATCTGCCCAGTGCGGCCCAGACAGTTTACGTCAGACAAACAGCAGCGCCTGTATCACAAGAGGCCCTCTCTTTCCTGCCAGCAGCATCTTTAGAACAGGAAGCAGCGAGAGGGGGGGATCAATAGATGTGATCTGCTTCTTGGCCAGCGCTATCTTGTGGTGCCGCTGGAGCATGGGGCTCATGTTGTCGTAGTGGAGTGAGCTCATAGCTCTATAAAGACTACAGTGACATCGCTGTGGAGCAGCTAAATATAATCCTCTGCTGGAGATTGAAAAACTTAATTGCCCGGGCCACAGAGCAGCATGGTTCCCCCCCCCCC